CTTTAAACTTTAACTTTACTTTACTTACTTCCTTCCTTCCTACCTTACGTACTTACCTTCCTTTACTTAGTTATTTTACTTACTACTATACACACTACTATATATATATATATATATATATATATATATATATATATATTGGGTAATTTAATACATTCATATATATTTTTTTGGGGTAATTCAATGCGGAAGACAGACCCCTACCTATTTTTTCATTAGATTGAGGAGTTACATTTTGAAAGTGTTAATTGGAGCGTCCACTGTAGGAATGGATACCACATTCGCAAGTTCTATGTCCTATGCTTGAGGAGTTAACATTTGTGGTCTCTCGGCATCATGGTAAACACAACCAATTCTTTGGAGCCTTCGAAAGGTCAGCAAGGTTCGAGTGCCATGCAAATTTTTGAATTTTCGAAGATTTTTTTTACATGCAAACTAAATTGGGAAAACCCGTTCAAGGCATTTTTTATGGGTTTGCATTTTAGTTTGATTCTATAGTAGGAGTTAGAACTATTTGGGGTTTCTATAAAGACCCATTTGTAAAAGGCAAAAGTTTATATAAGGTTGCAATTTTAAAATGTAGAATTACAGATGCAATAAAAAAAGGTCGTTTTAATGTTGAAAAACTCTCTCATTGATCACCTCGACATCGAGATATACAAATAAGAAAAAAAAAGAAAATTTGAGTCTCAGAAATAGTGCATCTTGCAACACATTATCTAGACCGTCCATTTTCAAGATTTTCATATGTTTATAGATCTACTTGATTTTAACTATTTTTAGAGTTTAAAATTCTATAGTTAGATATGAAAATAGATTTTCAGATAATCTTAAGAATTTTTAACACCAAACTTACATGTTATGATAAAATGCCTTAATTTGGATTGTTTGAAGTTGCAACCTTATAGAAACCATAACCTTTGTAAAATGTTTGACTTACAATTGCCGCAATATAATGTACAAATAGAAAAAATAAATATTCTATAATTAGGATATATTACTTGTACTGCCAAATAAAACTTTATTCAATTATTGAATTCAAAACTTCAAATATTTATAATGCAACTAGGTTTATGTAAATAAATATAAATCCAGAACTTCTAATCTAAGAATGAATAAATTGTGCTGGGAAGACTTACTAAACTTTACCTAACGTCACGCTCTTAAAACTTAATAATATCTCCCATCCAATTACCACACCCATGACACACTTCTTAACCCATTGGCATTGCTGAATTTCACATATTAGGGTGTTCCCTAAGCAATACCCTCTAAAGAGTTAGGATTT